GATGGCGGCCTAAATACTCGAAGAAAACGCGAAACGAATGGGGGAGGGGGAGAGGAATGAGATTAGGATAATAGAAATAGATTTCGAGGGGAATGAAAAAAGCCGGGATAACGAACGAGAATTGAAAATTCTTCCTGAGAAGGGGATAAGAGTCTCTCGAATTTCTCGGGACTCTTTCATTCTGAACGGTTGAATTTTAATTTTCGCGGTAATGCTGAAGAAATTCGTAAAAATGTAGAAAAAAAAAACATCGTAACACGAACATAATCTAATTTTTAACTAACACGATGTTTCGTCGAGTAATTTTGGTTTTCGTAATTCTTTAATTCGTTTGAAGACATGTGTTTTATTAAGTTCTCCAGTGCGCTTTGCGATTTAATTTTCCCATTTCTACTTGTTACATAGTAACTTTCGTGTTACGTCTTCTGTGGTTTCTTTCGTTCTTGGGAAGAGGATGCTTATCACGGTGTTAATATCTTTTTTTATCAAAACTTGAAACGTAAAACAAAGCAAAGTTTTTTCTCACGTAGTTAGAAACCATTTGCTCTACTTTTCAGGTAGCTAATGCTAATTACTATTATTCGATGAAGAACCTGTCTATTTCTAGCTGATTAATGTGCCATTTCGTTAGAAATCTCTTAAAATTCGAAATTAATTTTTAGACTCGTATTGTTCCAATCATTCGTTATATTTCGTACGAAAGAGCATTATTTTTGTGATCCTCATTCTCCTGTTAAAAACTATTGATCAACGAAGGAATGAATCACCTTATCGATAGTTATTTCCATGATACATTACAGACGATTAGTTATAATTTTTGAAAGAAAAGAAGGTCAAATTGATTATTTAACCAAAGAAAACCGATACCTCATCTCTTCTTAAACTAAAAAGATCCTTCAGCCGTCTTGTTGAGCGAACTTCAATTTTTTTAATAAATCACGTTCTTCGAAACGGACAAAGTCGAACTTCTCATCAACGATCTCCTCTGTTATAAAGTAGGGCAACGTAATACTACAAAAAAATCAAAGAAATATCGTAATTAGGATGTTTTTGCTAGTTTTTTTTTTTTTTCTCTCTCGACAGAGATCCAAGGATTTGGGCCCGCGAATGAAGAATGATCTTAACATTTCTTTCTTTTTTTTTTTCGTTTCTAATCTTCCTCGTCGCGGAAAGTCACTGCGAAGCAACAAGTATATTTTCGACCGATGCGCCGATTCGGTTAACTCCGGCTTTCGCAAAATTCCGCGAATCGTTTAAATATCATAAAATGCAGCGTGCGCCGCTTTTGACGCGTTAATGAAAATCAGGCGGCCTCGGCCTGAAATCGTGAAAATTCCAAACGAAATTTCCCGGTTAACTGCTGCCGGCTTTTAAAGCTCGCGGGCGCGTTTAATGCGTCGTTAGCCTATTTAAACTGCAACAGCGGATCAGTCAAATCAGTCAGAATATTTCTCTACCTGATTCTTTCTTTTTTCTTTTTTTTTTTTTCAGCCTACAGGCAATTCTAACCTCAATTATTGGAAAATTATCGGTGTGATATTTGTTCGAGGAGGAAGGAAAAGAAAGAGATTCGATAAATTGGTCGGTACGAACGATGGAGGTGTTATTTTAGCTGATTGTTAAACCAATAAAATCTTTCGATATTTAGGAAAAGAAATAAAATTCAAAGTCAAAGATTTTAGGGAAAGGAACGGACAGGAGATGAAATCTAAGACTAAAGAGCACAGTTTAAAATTTCTGACGAACAGATCACTTCTGTCAGATTCGTTACACTCGACGTGTTGAAAGTTGCAACTCGGCAAGGCAGCTCTTAATGAATTAATTCGTCGTTTTTATAGCTCATTAACGTTTACTTCAAGCTATGAGAATTAAAAAAGTTGCGGATCGTGCGGCCATGGGAGAAAAAAACTCCTCCGAGTTATTTCAACATTATGATCTTAAAGAGAGAGAGAGAGAAAAAAGAAAAAAGGATATCGAATAAATTATTTAACGAAGCTGCAGGTTTCTCTAGCGCTTTCAGGTTTCAAATCATCACCATAATAATAACAACAACAACAACAACAATAATAACAATCACCATCATCATCACCATCATAATCATAATCATCATCACCATCATCATTATCATCATTATTATTATCATTATCATTATCATTATCGTTATCGTTATCATTATCATTAATCATTATCATTAATCATTATCATTAATCATTATCATTAATCATTATCGTTATCATTATCGTTATCATTATCGTTATCATTATCGTTATCATTATCGTTATCACTATCGTTATCACTATCGTTATCACTATCGTTATCACTATCGTTATCATTATCGTTATCACTATCGTTATCACTATCGTTATCATTATCGTTATCATTATCGTTATCACTATCGTTATCATTATCGTTATCATTATCGTTATCATTATCGTTATTATTATTGTTATTATTAGACTACGGATTTGTATTTTTTGATGATGTTCAATTCTGTATTGTATTTTCAATTGCTTTTGATTGAAATTGAATTGGGAATTCGCAATGCGAGC